TTCAATTAAGACAGAAACGAAGCGAAATTGAAAATCTCAAAATTAAGTTATCATTTATCTTTTTTATACAATCTCTCTATTTATACAGTCCTACGAAAACTTAATAAACTACTACAATCAACACTCCCTCCATACAATTTCCCTCAAATTTCTGTGCACTGATTTTTTAAAAACTGACGGTGTAACAAAGATACTTAAAAATTTCAAACGACATCTACAATAAATCTTAAACGTTCGACCGCACAAACAAAGATCGAATTTTACAATTCAGGTTTTATTTCCAACGACAACGAAAAGCGGCAATAATTACGAAAGTCATTTCCATACCATCAACTCGAGCTGAAAATCGAAGAAAAATTACTTTCTATGAAAAGCATTTACCCATCGGTAGCCCTCTTGGTGAAATAGAGGGCACGATACATAAAGACTCAGTTTTTCAAAATTTTACTACCGATCTTCACAACCGACTCGCTCCTCAAAGGTCCTTTTGGCTAATTTCAAGGTAAAAGCAGAGGCCCCTTTTTCGGTTTTCACTGCTTTCACTGCTGTCCTTGGGCAACAAGCACTTTTCTTACAGCTTTTACACCAAACGATGGGGATTAGCACGAGATTAACCCCATTTTTTTTTTCACCATCCTCGCTCCCCGTTTTTTCCCCTCGCGGTGCATCTGCGAAGATCGAAAGGTTCGAAAGCTTACGCCGGTGATGTTTTTTTTCTCCAGTAGGTCACTGGTGAGACCGTTGGCGAGAGTGTTGGCGATGAAAAACAGTTGCGCCAATGATCCGAAATCTCGTTAACTTGTAACTCGCAATTTCACTGACAATTTGAAAGAAAAAAGAACTTGAAAATTTCAATTTGCACTTATTTCATCGATGAGTCGTCAACAAAGTACCAAACTATTTGTAAGAATACGCGTATTATTATACATCACTGTTTGAAGCAAACAAGCCACAATTAATCGACAACCTTCTCGTTCCGTGATTAAACAGAATTCTGATTATAGAGGGTTAAATTTAACGAAAATTAAATTCCTTTACCAAGTCGACAATAAAGTATCGTCGAGAAAGCGTTCGAAAGAGGGGTTATCAAACACCCTGGATCACAGGGTAGAGCCGAAAATCGAAAAATGAAAAAAAAAAAAAAAAAAAAAAAAAAAAGAAAAAAAAAAAAAAAAAAAAAAAAAAAGAAAGGAAAAAGGGGAAAGGTGGGAGAGGACGAGCAGAGAAATCGCACGAACCGGAAATTTAATCCGGCCTCGTTAAACTCTTCCTCTTTGCAGCAGCGGCAGCAATAGCCAGCGCACGGAGGCGAGAAAGGGGTGGCAAGAGACTGCGAGTGCAATTTCGTTGTAAATCTCGCAGAAAAGCCCCCGTGAACGACACGCTGACCCAGAAAGTCAAAGAGTTGGGATTCCGTCAAGATCGATTCGAATTTCGTGCACGGTCAACGCCAGCCTTTACGACCTGTCCCTTTCGAGTTTCCGCCAAAAGAGCTGAGCCGGCGCGCCTCTTTTGCACGAAAATCGGTGAAATGAGCCTCGACACCGTAATAAATCTTTCCCTAGCCACCGCCACCACCACCGGCGGACTCTCTGCCTTCCTCCTCTTTCGGGACCATTTTGCTAACTGCAAAACGGTCGCTGTGGGCCCCCTACGAGGACACCGCACGAATTTCTGTCCAAATATTGAAGCCTAACCAGACGACAATCCCTATAACTTTATAAATTATACCAATTGCAGATCCCTGCGTCTCTGTGTGTACGTGTGTGAAGATTTTTCGCACGACTTTTTGGAATTTTACTTTTTCCCCTTCTTATTTTTTGATCTCGAGGCTTTGGAATACAGTGAATATTATAATATTCAAAGTGTGATCGTTGGATTTTGAAATTTTAGAAAAAATTTTTAGAACGAAACACATCAATCATGATCAATCACGAAAAGAATCAAATAAATGATGACACGATAAAAACAGGAATATGAATTAATGATTTAACAAGGAATTCTACGGAATATTCTAAATTTATAAAAATATAGAAGTACTAAGAAATACACGAATACAACACCTAATAAAAATTCCTCATTCCTAATTTAATTACCAGCAGTTTCTACCCTCAGTCTTCATTTCCAAAAATAATAAATTTTATGAGGATACTATGAAATTGTATTTTCACATGTAAGAAGAAAGATAATGAGTTTTAGATAAATTATGTTTGATGGGTTTTAGAAAAGCTAGGAAGATACCAATTGGTGGCTTCGACTCACATCGATATCTAATATTGTGATACACGACAGATACACCGAGAAAATCTTTCAAACTTAATAAATTCGTCGGGAGTTAATTAGGTTAACTGCAGGATTATCCGGTCTTACACAGAGCTTCGTATATCCCTTTCCGCTGCGACAGATCAAGGAGAAATGATTCGAAAAGAAAGAAAAAAAATTGGATTTTCCGATCGAACGGATTAAATAGAAGTAACTCGAAGAAAACAGCAACACAACAAGATTCTCTGTACTCTCAAAAAATGAGCAAATACATATTATTTATAATAATACGTAACACTATATTACAATATACGTTTTCATTATTTTAGTATTATTATTGTTGGCTCGCGACGCGTTGAGTCATGATTAGGTGAAAACAACTTGAAAAAAATGACGGCAACACAAGACTCTGACTCTCTGTACTCTCAAAAAAATAAGTAAATATTATTGATCATTACCATTATATTACACACAATAACACATAATACTTATGTAATGATATGTTATGTAGTACATTACAATCTTACATTTTTTTCATTATTTTAATATAATTGTCGAGCCGCGATCCGCTTATGGTTTACTGTCCGTGATCAGAATTAATTAGATTCAGAATTAATTTTGCACCCGTTGAAATGAATTGATATCCGTAGTTTTTATATAATTGATATATTAGAAAGGATCCGGCGATCGTGTCACTGTTTCACCTACCACGCGGCTACTCTAGTCGAGATTACTCTGATTCTGATTCTACTTTAATTCCTCTGTATCTCAGCCGAATTTGTATCTCTCTTCTCCAAACGGCGAGCCTGTTTTATTGGCGAATTGTAGCCAAATAAATAGCAATCAATTTAAATTACGGGCCGTCCGACTGCCGATCTGACCTCGATGAACAAACGTAATTTTGACATTCTTTAGAACACGATCGATGCCAATCGTTCTTGGAAAACGCTAAACATAATAGGCTCGCGGTTGTTTACCAAGAAATAAAAAGTAATAACCGTATACTGTCGGCGTTAGGTTAGCACTTCTTGTCAACAAGAAAAAGTAAGCGTTACCCATAGTTATAAACATACAAATTAATACAATGGATGTCTTTGTGCTGACAAGAAGTCGGTTTTTGGCATAGAATGCTTTTATGGATATATTCGAGAATATTGTAACCACCTGGCAAGAACGTTTGACTATGCTTCGAAAATAATTCGTCGTTCGACTGAAGCCAACGTACATATAAGAATGCAATAAATGCATACAATTTTCCACCAGTTTTTCAATACTAGAGATGCCTTGCATTACCTTTTATTTATAACGACTTTCTAGTTTTGAAAAGACTTTATAGTCTTCGAGAGAATACTATGACAAAAACGTATAAATCATTCAATTGGTTTAAAATGATCCATAGTATGGAAGAGGGACGAGAGAAAACAAACAATAATAAAGGTCATAAAGTGCCATTTAAGAAATTCTAAACGAAATTTTGGAAACGGTTGTTTGACCGGTTGTATTAGGTTTTTAGTGTAGAAGTAGATAATTTTCTTTTGTTTGCTTTTCATTTATACTTTAGTCCTATCTTGTTACTTCTCAAATTACCTACATCGATCTACTGTTTATTCCTAAGGTGTCAATAATTAAGCATCATGCACGCATGTAGTTCAAATTTACTCCAGTATCATCAACCGTCTCAGAAAATCCTACCTTCTCCACAACTACCACTGCAAAGAAAAATCCAGAAAGGCGTTCAAAAATATAAAATTTCGTATAAAAATACGTGGGCAATTCAATCGAGAGAAAAAATTAATCTCACCGTCTTTTCCCCCCACTGTATATTCCACTCTTAATCGTTTCCCTAAAAATATACATTTCCACGCAAAGAAAAAAAAAAAAAAAAAAAAAAAAAAAGAGAGAGAAAAAGAAAGTTCGACAACAACCAAGTAAAAGAACAAATGATTTAAAACAACGACAATTGAACAGTCTCGTCAATCGTTAACCAAAACTGTCGAACCACCGGTCGCTCCTCCGCGAGCAACCCCCGTGGAGGTCAAGAAACGCGTGCAACATGCAGAGTTCTGAAGAGTGGTGGTAGGAACACGTGCGCGTGAAAATTTACGTCGTCACGTCAGGCATGAGTTGGCTGTCGAAGGCATGCATATATACATACATACATACATACATACATACATACATACATACATACATACATACGTAGACAGTGGCAAGAAGACGGGGGCGAGAGAGCACGCGGACAGAGACGGGAGAGAGAGTAGACAAATCAGAGGACAGGGTGAGAGTTGAAAACCGAAACGGTACCATAGAGATGACAGAGAGGGTGGATGCTGCGGATGTTACTAGAGAGTCGAAACGTGTGCCAGTCTAACTGATGGGGAAGAGAGAGAGAGAGAGAGTGCGTGTTGTGTGTGTGTGTATGTGTGTGTGTGTTTGTGCGTGCGTGCGAGTGAGAGAGACGCGCGACGAGAGAGGGAAGATGGAAACGGTAAGGAAGAGCGGAGGCACAAGCCACCCTTGGCAAGAGAGGCAGCAGGCTGGCAGCCCCTTTCGCAAGGCACCCCCTAAGCCTGGTTAGGGGCGAAGGCGGCGAGCCGCGGAGGCCACAACACGACCGCCGTCCTCATTGGTCGACGCGCCTCGCCTGGGTGGGGCTCCGGAAAAATTGGAGGGGAGAAAAATCCCCTCTAAATAGCTGCGGCTGCGGCCGCGAAAAACTAGAATCCGCTCAGCCGGCATCGAGTGCGCGTCTCGGTTTAGCGTGGAGTCTTTTTCCCCTCCGGGTCTTTTCGGTCGTATCGTTTTTCCACAATCGCCAGCGATTCGAGAGTGACTCTAAAGAAGAGTCTGAACGGAAGAGTCCTCCTCCTCCTTCTCCTTCTTCATCTTCATATTCTCCAGAGACTGTCTTCTTCTGAGATACTGCCTCTTGGTTTCTTCTTCTTCTTTTTTTTTTTATTTCTCTTGGTTGATTGGTACCGTTGACGACGGGCCATAGTGTGTGATACACAAACAGTGATTGGACAGAGCACAGTGTATTCTAGAAAAATACTTGGTGGATTACAGAGGATTTTGTAAATTCTCCTGCAACTTTTGGACCAATACCGCGAAGTAGTATTGGAAGGGTTGGAGAGTTTTGGATAAAATGCATTTGCCGGATGGACCGGGAATGGACCATTTGAATGCGATTCACGAGACGCTGCAGGCTTGCCACGGAGATCTAGTGAGGACCGGAAGTCCCGCCATCCTCTGTAGCGCGTTGCCATCGCACTGGAGGTCGAACAAGTCGTTGCCGGTGGCTTTCAAGGTCGTGGCTCTCGACGAAGTTAGCGACGGCACTCTGGTCACGATCAGAGCCGGCAACGACGAGAATTGCTGCGGAGAACTAAGAAACTGCACCGCGGTCATGAAGAACCAAGTTGCCAAGTTCAACGATCTGAGATTCGTCGGTCGCAGCGGGAGAGGTCAGTGTGCACATGGATTATCGATATCTTTTTCGTTGGAATCTTGGGAGAAGTTCTCAGAGAAACGGTAGAGCAGTACACTTTGGACATGGGATTTACTCATCGAATGATCTTTGCTTGATTCCAGGAAAATCCTTCTCGCTGACGATACAAATTAGCACGGTGCCCTTCCAAGTCGCCACCTACACGAAGGCGATCAAAGTCACAGTAGATGGACCAAGAGAACCTCGATCCAAATCGAGTAAGTTTGTTACTTCCTCTCGCATCGAAGTACCGTTCGTTCCTTTGACTCTAATTGTTTACCTCCGAAAGTTTTTCTACCAAAACCAAGGTGAACGTTTCTATCTTTGATATACAAACTTCACAAATCTTTTGTACAAAGTATGATTCTCCAATTTTGCTCGTTTACATATTTATAGAACCTTTGAAGATTTATTACTACTATTAGTTTTAATATTTCCTAATATTATTCGTTAGAATAAATCGAATGTTCAGAAGGCTTCTTTCGTTCAAAATTTTAAATTAACTACAACAATGTCTTTTTTTCTTAGAAACTTTAGAACAAGCTCAAGACAATAATTCCTTTTCTCGAAAACTTTGATCTCTCCTCTAATTCTTCTTAATAAATTTTCAATACGCTACAAGTGAAATCACTGAGAGACTTCGATACGTACCTTTCTGATGTAATTCAGTAGTTTTTGAAAACTTCCAGTGTAACTACAAATAACATCAAAGAATTTTTCTCTTCTCTGGTTTCCAAACTTCGTTTCAAAATTCCATTTAACCCTCAAATACTATCATCGGGTTGTAGATAACTACATTATAAAAAATGTAGAATATTTAATTCAAATGGAATATTCAATCCGTAAACTAACAATAAAATTCGGTTCTAAAAAAATTTTAAAATTCAGTAATTTAAAGTACTTGAGAAAAAAAAAAAGAGGAACCTGTAATATCAGAAAACTTGAGTTTTATCAAAATCGAGACGGGAAAGTAGACCAAAGAAATGTAAAAACAATTTTGTCAGAAGCTGCCAAAGAACAGAGCAAAACAAACCTATTGGGAAAAAATTTGAACGACCCTGGAAAGACCGAAACCAGACCAGAATCGATCAAAATCCAAAATATCAGAAAAATTCGAACGAACGATGTTCGGAGTCTAAATCAAAGAGTACAATACCAGAGGAATCGACTTCTACCCAACGATAGCAGACGAAAATTCCATTCTAGTTCAAACTCTTGAAAGAATCCCCGCCAGTGTCCTGCCAGGTGTCGACCAAGTCTCGAAAGGAAGGACTCGACGGTGGAGATGGAGCGCGTGGCCGGCGTTCGAATCCGCAAACGGGTGTCGGGGATCCTCGTAGGCGTTTAATAATCCGGTGGACCTCAAACCGCGGGCCGCGCGCGGCGGTCGCAGAGACTCGCAGCCTCTAGCAGTCTCGTTTACACGTGCACGTGCATAAGGGTGGCTGGCTGTGCGCGCGCGCACACGCACACGACGGGTTAAAACGCGTGAAAATCGTCCATGTGTGTACGAAACGGAGGTGTTGGCATTGGTTCAAGCCGCGACCGATCCTCGTTCGCGCAGAGTCGGCTTCCTTTCAACGTTCGCCTCTCGCTTGTTTTCCTCCCCCCGTCGATGACTTCGGGAGATCGACTGGACTCCGAGATCGGCTCGGAGAACGCTCGCTATTATACTTATACTCGACTCGACTCGTTGGCCTGTGTGTTTATCCGAAGGCGGCGTTTGTTCGCGGCAAAAGAGCTGGACAAAGCCGCGGGAGGCAGAGAAACACCGAAGTCTGCAAAGGAGCCGCGTTTATGCGTTTGTTTATCGCGCCACATATGGCGGTAGCATGTGGCTCGTAACGAGCCAGCGTAACGCGCCGATCGAGTAAACATAGATCGCTAGCTCGCCTACGGAGAGCGTCGTTAATCCCAGTTTTATGCGATCCCGGCTGGTCTCCATCCTTCCACCTTCGTCTCTTCTTCTTCTTCATCATTTTCTTCTTTTTTAATCCTTGTCACTGCGAGTTTTCGTCGGTTCGTTGAGATTTGTAGATGTTGCTCGAGACAAGTTTGAGTTAATCGATTCGTTTGAATTCGAGAGACTTGGAACGGAGGGATCTCAGTTCATCAAGAGTGAATTAGCCGAGATTTTCTGTCTTTATACCTTTGTCACTGAGAAAGAGATGTTGCTTGGAGCAAGGAATTTGAGTTCACCAAGATTGAATTTGGAATCATCAATTTCGTCTTTTCTGTCTTTTTTGAATCTCTGTCACTACGAACTTCTACCTTTCCTTTCTTATCTTTCCCATTTTGCCATTTTTTTGTCAATTCGTTAAAACTTTTCTCGACGTGACAAAGTTTTATATTAGTCAAATTGAACTGGAGTGATACAAATTTCTAATTGAGTTGAAGTCTCTTCCTACTGTTTTCGTATCATCGTTGCCCTTTGTCGAATTAAGCCTTGTTCAAATTAGTCAATATTGTTTGAAATGAGTTATTCGAACGAAGGAAACTTGAAGCAAGCGACTGGATCGTTTATATCAGTTACTTCAATTTCTACTGCATCAAATTCACATTCATATTCGCTCGTATGCACTCTCAATTATAAATCAGCCATTATCAATCATTCTAGTCAACTATCTATTAATTTTCTCGTGACTCGTGCACTACTGTTAAAAATGACGATTCTAGTTTCTAGCAGTAGCAAATTTCAAATATTCTCAAGTAACTCTTGATAATTTCAATATTAAAATTCTCTTCATTGGTCTTTTCTCCAGTTTTGAACAATAAAGAACGACTTACAATTAATTCCTCCAGTGGATTCTTCGTCATCCGAAGCATATAAATCGACGAAAACGCGAAATTTAATTTAAATTAACACTAAGATCGATAGGAGGAAAAGTTCGCCAAGGTTATAAATTAGCTAGCGCCTTGGAGAACCTTGATCGTTCGATGGTTATTTATAGAGTCGGAGGAATCGCTTCGAAGGCACGTATCTTCCGTCTATTTTCGAAAGCTTCGATCGTACTATAAGGAACACGTTTCTTGAATGTTCGCAGATTATCAATACGGACACGCATTCCCTGGACTTGGACTGCTGAATCCTTGGGTGGATGTCGCTTGTTTAGGACACGCGTGGCACTTTCCTCATCCAGCGTTCGTCAAAGGTAAGCTTCGATTTTCTATGTTCAGCGACAGTAATTCGACAGTGAAATTCGTTTGGTCCTTGCGTGTAACGAATATTTTTATGTTTCTTTTAAAAAATTTTATTTTCTCATCAATTCACTGGCTCTTGTCAATTATCAGTCACAAGAACCTCTTGCTATATTCTTGCTAACGTTAACATATTGATCGTGACGAGAGTTTCACATAAATATAAGAGAACTCAACGAAATGAAAAACTGGAAAATCAAGTGATTCGATCTTAAGCTTTCTCGGGCCTGGATGGTCAATTTCAACCAAGGATTGAAAACAAAAGTTGCCAAGAATTTCTTGTCACATACACGTACTGTTATCGAGTAATCGTTTATTCCTGTCCACGCAAGGATTAAGAAACTTAATATCCCATACGAGTCTCCGCAAAACGCGCGTGCACGAATCATCGTGTGATCAAAAATACCAGTCACACAGAACGTACCTAATCGCTCCCATCAGAGCCCTTCATCCTCGTCCGGATCGCAATCAATCAAAGGGCAACAATGCACACGGCCAAAAGAATCGGTCCGACTAGGAGAGAAAAAAAAAAAAAAAAAAAAAGAAGCCTCGAAAGAGGACACGCGTTCAAACGAGAGCGAGTTCGCGTTATCGATTTCGCCCAAGTCCGCGACGCCTGCCGATGATTCATACTCGTGACTGGACCGAGGGTGAGCCTGAGTTCCCTTTTCCCACAACGGACCCCTTCGACCCCCATGCGTCGTCCCCATCTACGCAACAACAATACGACTTAGTTCCCTTCACCCACCAAATCTTCCTTCGTAGTAGATACATCAGCTTCTCGAAAAATCACGACTAATCGACGCCTTTAGTTCTCTTCTCGGGAACCAATTTAATTCGTTACTCGTTCAATAATTACCTTCGTCTTTGCAAAAATTGAGAGCGATCGTCATTTCTCTTTCTTTTAGAAAAAAATTGGAATTTCATATTATCGCGTGAATTTGTATTTTGTAACACAATTACGAAGCGCGAGATTTTTTTCAAAGTTCTGACAACTGACAATTGTCATAAATCGTTTATTTGATATTTTTCTACTTGCAAAATTCATCAAGTACGTACATCATTGTTTATCATCTTTTAACTCGAGGATCATCCGAATGTTAGAAGTGAACGATTCGACGAACGATACTTTTCCGTCGAATCGCCGTAAATGGATACAGTTGATTTAATTCCCCTCACAACTTTTTTTCCTCGGTGCTATCGCTATTTCAGTTTCTCTAACAACCATCCCTAGTCGTCACATTTCCTTCCAATTTTTCGTACTCTCGACTGTTGTAAAAAATCACAGTTAACCGTCACCGTTTCTTCTTTCGTCTGTCCTCAGGAACAATTCCAATACCATCGCCAGATTTATTTCCACCAGCGTTCCCCCCGCCGGTTCTGCCGGCGTACCCGTTCGACCACGCGAAGTATCCAACCGAGTACGCGACGTTGCCGCCAAAAACTAGCAGCAGCAGCACCACCACACCGGCCACCAACCCCAATAGCCCGTCCAGAACGCCGCCGAAGAGCCCGAGCGAGTCCGGAAGCGAGTCAGCCCTTGAAGAGATACGCAGCGCGTTCGTGCCAATCAGATTGAACACTTTGCCGCCAATATCGTCCGCCATCACCGCCTCCTCCTCGTCCCCCGAACGAATTCAGCCGAAGAAAACAATCGACAACACGAGGAACGAACTGAAGGCGCCAACAGCACTCATCTCGCGACCACTGACGCCAAAGAGGACAAGCCCCCCATCCCCGGGCACGAAAATCTCCTCAACGACCAAACCAGTTTGGAGGCCTTACTAGGACGAAAGGTGGACAAGAATCCGATGAAAACTGAAGATGCACAGATCTAAGTCCGGAACGGAAGGCTAGTGATTATATAGACGTCGTCCGCGAGATGTACAGTCTCTTTTGCAGAACGACAAGAATGCGTGTGACCGACGTTATTGAGCGTGGCTCCCGATGGAGAGAGCTGATACTTCTCCTCTTTTTCTTTCCTTTTTTCTTTTTCTTTCCTCTTGTTCAAAGGAGCGGGATATGTTGAAAAATAGGTACAGTACGCGAAACGTTCTTTGTTCCACTAGCAATTAGTAAAATACCAATGAAGAAACATTTGCAAAGCTTTGCCTATTTTTTGATCAACCACCCTAAATCTTCGTTCTTTTGGTTGTCCACTTGAACTTCGTTTCCCGATTTTGGATAATCGGAGAACAAAGTTGTCGGTGTAATCTATGGCGTCTTCGGTTTTACGAAGACGGCAAGGAACGCGACTTGATAATTGACACGTCTTCGCGAGATACAGTTACGTTGTTTCATTACAGTTATGTGTCAATTATCAAAATGTACATAACAATTTTTGTATATACGTGTAGATAGTTCGTGGACAATAATTGTAGAGAGTTTAATTTTCAAATGTAATTGAAATATATTCGATATATTCGGTAATATTATAAATAAAGAGATAATATTACAAATAAAACATTTATTCGCACGAAGAAATCGCTTATTTGGAAACCTTGACAATTATTCCGAATTTTTTAAGCGGGAATGTGCTTCCGCAAGTTTAAAATTGATAGAACAGTATTTTATACAATCGACAAGAGAATCACTATCTCATTTAAGGACTTCGCAACCGAAGGTTCCCGATTTTTTTTTTTTTTTTTTGTTTTTTCTCTATATTTTATCTTTACATTAAATTTGATTTCTGACTTATAAATAATGTCAATATCTCTATTTGTCTTGTCCTTATATGTGACTTTGAATAGTTCTCTCCATAAATAAGCAGATTTCAATTTACACGTTAGCTGCTGTATATATGTTATTGTACATGTACACTACGTGAATTGAGATCTGTCTATGAACGCATGGAGAGAACTATTTTAGAGACAAATGTAAAGACCTGACAAGACAGAGATATTGAGAACATTTAGTCAGACATTCAATTTAAATAGATTCAATGTAAGTAGATGGAATGCTATAAAGACAAGGGAAATAAATCCGGCAAAATGATTACGAAGAATTCAAACAAGAGAATGATTAGCTCGTTTTACTTAAATACATCTGGCCACTTGTTTTAATTTCATGAAATACTCACTTTTTTCTCGAAATTTAATCAAATTTTTTAAATTAAACTTGATAGAAGCATACTCCCGCTAAAAAAAATTTGGAGTCCGTCAAGTATTTTATTCATACATTGAGTAGATTTCAATTGCGTTTAAAAATCAAACTCAAGATATTCTTACATTGCAGAAGGAAGTTTGTTTCATTTGAAAAATCAATTTGGAACGGGAAAAAATGAAATACTAACAGCAACGAGATGTCAAATCATTATTGTAATTGATCCTTTTAGTCCAATTCGTCAACAACGATACATAGTTACACTTACGCGCCAATACAAAAGCTATGTGCCTAAGTGTAGCTATGTGTCGTTGACAAAGTAAACAAAGGAAGATGCCGGAGTGAATAATTGGAGAGACAAAATTAATTAATTAATTAACAAAAAGATCAATTACGATAATTATAGGTAGAATTCGACATCTCGTTGCTGTTGATGATATTTCATTTCTTCTTTTCGAGAACGATATACCATTTCCGTTAAAAGCATTTCTTATTAATAACGACGTAACTTTAAATTAAACTTCTGGATCCTATTATTCCTTATTATTGTAATATTCATACACTTGAGCAAATTAGTTGTCAAAAATGAACGATTAATTACAACCGTGCGACATGCTATTTTTTTCTTTTTAAAGCTTGATTTTAGTTTAAAGTTTCATTTAAAGTTACGCCGTCTATATTTTATAAAAATCTATTTTATAAAAATAATAGATATTTCCTCGGTAATGGGAAAAAGTGTAAATAATATAGAGAAAAGTAAAGCGTTCGTTACAACATGATTTGAAATAAAACAAACGATAAAACAAAATTTTTCAAAAATGCATTAAAATCAGCGATACAATGATAATGTCAGAATGTTGTTTTTAGATATATGAATGAGATACCGATGTTGCATTCCGTCGCAAACATTACGTTGCAACTCTTTTTTTTTACATTTACGATCAACATTCTGACGATATCACCGTTTTATGAAAACGCATTTTTGAAAAATTTAACTTTCACAATGCACAAAGAAAATATATGTATAAAATATCCGAAACGAAGTACTTCTTACAATACAACCAGTAACAGAAATCGAAATTTCTGCTTGCAGTTTCCTTTCATTTCCTTAATTGGTCCTTGTAAGAACATAAAATTCACAGAGACGTGAAAACGTCCCAGTCTACCAATCGCGCAATAGTAAAAGCCTTCATTGACGAACGAAGACACCCAGAAACATACCACACCTAGAGACAACCCGAAAGAAACGAAAACCCAAGATGTCCCACGTACCTACGTAGAAAATGATCTGATATCCCAGATATCCCGGTCTTGCAGCGGTCGCGACGAAACCGTGAAAGAGATCCGACACCGTGTTACGTGCTAAGCTGCCACCACCATGGAGGGGAATCCATATTCTTTTTGTCGCGATTTAAATCTGAATGGCCGTTCCGGCGGTGGTCGTTCAAGGTTCCTGCGTTGTGCACGTACGGGTTCCCATACGGCGTGCACAAGGGTAGAGAATGGTTTATATCGAGGGGAGAAGTGCGTGAGATCTGTATTAGTAGCGATAGGCCAGGAGAACGAGCGCCAGTGTCTCTCATTCTCCGATTCGATGCCGATAGAGGGCCGTTTCACGAAACGAGAACACGAAGAGAGCGTTGGCATGTTCTCGATGATGCTCGGCAGAAAAACTCGGTTGGTCAAAGAGCGAACGAAACTTTTTTCCACCCCATACACATTTTTCTTCTTTTTTTTTTTTTTTTTTTTTTTCGTGTGTGTCTCCCTCCTCTAATCCTGGCGAAAGAGCGAAAGAGAGTAAAGCCTGATTCGCACTAGTGGTCAAAGATACGGTTGGATCGTGTCACTCTCCATCAACTCCATTTATTTGAACCAAATTTTAGACAATATCCGATAGAATAAAAACTCTTGTTGATTGGATCCGCTTACTCGAACCTGGGCTCCAAATGTGTGAACGAAAACTCTTACTATTAACTATTTGTTTCTGGAGAAGTTTTACTGAGAATTCGCAATCATACGAGGTTGGATCAAGTGGGATAAAAATCTCTTGACTGTGCAGAGAGTTTGACAATGATCAAGACGTCAATCAATATTCAAGATTTGAAACAACGATTAACAAATTACAACGAGACTTGATCGATGCTTGATCACTGACGCGATTATTACTGGTAATTATTAATTCGTATTGATAATTAGAAAGTTGCTTCAAGAACAAAATGCATGCTTCTTCATCCGTCATTATTCAACATTTCAAGTAACAACATACTCGACCACTGAACATGTGACTGCTCAGATAAAATTCAAGATCGTGACTGATGGTTGGTGTGAATCAAGCTTAATCGCTCGAACGTTGGACAAAAGGCGGTGTCGCGAAATTTGGGGCACCGGTAATTTCCGTGCGGCAAATGCCACGGACGAATACTTCAAATTCGACATTTCCACCGGATATCGCGTTACGATAGGCGAAGCCCCCATTGCCGCCGCCACTATGTCACTGTGAAACATAACCTAGCGCAAGAGATTCCTATATGTATATACCCGCCTGGTTTCCCCTTTTGTTTCTCTTCTTTCGTTTTCGTTTTTATATTTCATTTTTTCCATTTTTTTCTTTTATCATTTTTCTTTTTTCTATTTTTTCCTTTTTTTTGTTTTGTTTTGTTTTGTTGTTGTCGCTGGCGCCGCGTTGTTTTCGTTTTATGGCTCGATCGTTGGCCGGATACGTTTGTCAGGCCGGTGCATGAAAGTCGAGGACAGTTAATCTCGGTGACACGGTATAACTCAATGCTCGCCAGGGGAATATAATTCTTGACGCGTGTCTCTCCTTCCCCCTACTCTCTCTCTCTCTCTCTCTCTCTCTCTCTCTCTCTCTCTCTCTCTCTCTTTCTCTCTCTCTCTCTTAACTGAAGAAAACCATCGGAATTCACGGTGAAAAGCGATCGACCGAGTTATCGGCTCTGATAACGAATGCCTCGGGAAAATGGGATGAATATTAAAAAGCGAGAGGGAGAGCGCTCGGATTCGACTCGGATTCCCGAACCAGCGGAGCTTGTCGTTTTCGGAGATCGATGTTTGCGGAGAGACTACAGTCCGAATCATCTCGATAGCGTGCGCACATTTTTTTTCTGCTCCCTCTATTATTTTATCGCGCTCTAACGTTCGTTGTGAAAGCGAATTTTTTTTTTTTTTTTTTTCTTTTGGTTGAAGTTTACGCGTGATTCAGGGATGAAAAATAGTTTGATACAAGTGGCGGAGTGAGGATTTCGGTTCCGAGGAATTCTGAATCGTGACAGAGTTGTTCGTGGAAGTTTTTGCGCATTTCATTTCGTCTGGCGTGTAATAGAGTGTTTATTTGTCAATTGTTTTACAGTGTGGCGTGGATTATTTTAAATAAGTAATTCGAGCGGAGATGAGAAGTTTGCGAACTGTTTTAAACTACAGATTACTTTTAAACTGCAAGAATTTAATTCGAATTACATAGTAATATATTAATGCATCTCGCAATGTGATAAATGTTTTAGATAAATATCCAAGACAAGAAGTTTGTGCACTGTTTCAGAATTAGTAAATTATATTTAAACTTACAGATACTTATGAAAATTCAGATTTTGATAAACACGACTGAGGAAACTCGCTAAATATTACAATTGGACTACAGACATTATAAATGTCCATTTATTATAAAATTTAATAACGGAAAGATGTTCTTAAATAACAAAATACTGTACTTTGCTAGAGTTAACTAGTATGAGACGCTTCTAATTCAATAAATGAATTTAATTTGAAAACGAAACTTTCACAAGACCTTCCACACGTGTAAACACAAATATTCATTTCCTAGTATAAATACAAAACTAAAATTATAGTTCCCGTTGTTTTCTTTCTTTTTAACTACGTTCCAACCGTGACACCTACATTCTACAATTTTACGAAGTTTAAACAAGCACGGCTATTCGTAGGCTATTGCCCGAACAGAAAAAAAAAAAAAAATAGATTTTTTAAACAAATGAAAATGCGCAAAGATTCTCACGACCAATCGTTCGCTTGTCGAGTCAAACGAATCCAAACGAACGAATAAACAAAGAAGAAAAAAAAAAGAAAATGTTTTCCAGCGAAAGAGACACACGCATATCTGCCTTTGGGAAATTGAACGGGATTAGTCGGAGGAAAATGAGAACCGCGTTAACACCCTGTCGCCGTGGGGCTGTTCGTTGACGAGTAGACAACAGAAGCAAGCAACCATGAAGGGTCGCCGCATGAACCGAGCCAAACCGATCGGAGGCAATCCGTGCGCGCGCCAGCCCGCTCTCGCTGCTAACTAATGTTTGCTCAAAGAATCGCGACGAATAATTGAGT